CACAGGAAGCATCCGTGCTATTGTTGCATTGTATGCTGAAATTTAATTGCAAGTGTTCATAAAGTTATCATTTAGTGATATATCGTGTTTTGCCTGTGTTTTCCTTGAGTGGCTCGTTTGAACTTGAATCTAACCTTCAAAATACAACAACGCAGATTCAGTTTTATTGTTCGGTGTCGAATTTTGGTGGTGATTCGGTGGCCGACGTTGCCGTTAATCAGTAAGTTTTCCGCTTGCAAAAGTGCTCGGCTGCTGGTCTCTCGCCGGTGTCGGAGATTGCGAGCAATATGAAAGATGCCTCGCTGGATACGCCCAAGACTGGACGGGTGGCAGTTGATGGCCGAAAACTGTTCCTGGGAAAAGCACTACACGCGAACTTCCTCCCAGATGACCATGACAATGTAAGAAAATTTGTGTTCGTTAAAGGAAGTAGTACGACAAAGGTGCATCACGAAATGCGAATTCGTTTATTATTCAGTTCCAAACTGGATCGTGTATCAAAATTGGGTCTGCTTGTTTTCTGACAAACGTAAGTTTGATCGTTTGTTTTTAAAACCCAGCTCAGGTTGAGGTTCACACTGACAAAAAGTTCGGTTTCGCACTGGGTTGGTACTGGTTCCAACCCCGATAATAAACGAATTCGCTATTAGAGAAAATCAAAATTACGGAACGCATGAATTGGAGAATCAAATTAACATGGTGAGACCAGTCCAAATACATTTTACATTTAAAAAAAAAAACAAACTAAATACGTGCCAGGTTTGAAAAGAATATTTTCGATCCTGGAAGCGTGTATGCAATACCAATATCTATTTGATAACGGTGATGCATACATGCGGGGATTATTGTAAGTGAAAGTGAAAGTAACCTCGGAATGGGCGTTTTTTCTAAGTGTGTGAACTGCTGCTTTGCCTCGCTCTTGCTTAGGCCGACAACATAGTAGAAGCGATTCGAAGCGATTCGATTCGTTGGCAATAAGCGGAGCGCTTGCGTGAAAGCACCCTCTATGAGCGTTCTATGGGAATCGCCCAAACCAGCCATAGTGAAAGCGATGCGAAGAGGTGTAAAGCGTTCAGCAAAGCGACAGAGCTGTTCGTGTTGTGTTTTGACGCCTTCGAACGCAAGTGGACTGATTCTAGTGAGGAAAAATGGACACCGATATCCATTCTTGTGTAAGACCGAAACTTCTCTGGATATTTACGAAGATCTTCGTACAACCTGAAGAACTCCCCATCTCGCCTTCTATTTCGATTGATCGGGTGAACTGCAAACTCTCTTTCGTTGTTGATTATGAAATTAATCGTGCTTGAGGAAGCGAAATATTCCTCATCGGATGAATCCATGCTGAATAACAAATTTGAACAAATATTTTGCACTGCGCGCGCGACTGTAATGTTTTCAAAAACGCTTTCACTATGTCATAGGTTGCTTCGCTTGCCGCTGCATTTCGCTTTGCCAATTGCTATCGCATCGAATCGCTTCGAATCGCTTCTACTATGTTGTCGGCCTTAGGTTGTTATCGCTCATCTTCCTTAGCTTCCGCAGAGCTTTGCTTCGTTTCCGTATCAATTCACCTACTTCTTGGTTCCACCATATCTGCTTCTTCTTTTCAGGTACGCCATTACTTCTCGGGATAGACACGATGCTGCTTCAAATATACTACGAGTGAGATATCTTGGATATTGGCATCAGAGTCTGCTAGAATTTTTTGTGCGGCAGCATTTTCGAATTTGGTCCAATCGGCATCCTTGTATAACCATCTTTTTTCGAGCGGGTTGCAGGGAGTGGGTTTTAAGTTCTAATATGTATTGGAAAGTGATCACTACCACGCAAGTCTTCTTCGCAGTACCAATAGAACTTCTTCTTCTGTTCACCCTTTAGTGGCATGTCCACTGTTGACGAACGTCATCATTCGCCTCTTTCTCTGTTTTGACGTAAACGGTTTGTACCGTTTTTACAGGGTTTTTCATGAAATGACAGTGCACCAATCATATGCATCTGTGTATCAAATTTGACATAGAAATAAAAATAGTTGGATTTTAAATATTTTTTTTATTTTTACTGGTACTAGTTCAAGATCGACATTAGGAACTATAATTTCCTCTGCTTGTAAAGTCGGATGTGTAAGTATACCTGATCCGCCATAACCATCAGGTTTACATTTCTTGAAAAAAGAATAGTTTCAGAATTTATATTTCAGATTTCTTGGATTAAAAAAATATGTATGTTTTTAGTTGTTAAAAACACTTTCTCGTTTTTGTAATGGTCTTAGACTGTGAATGTTAAGTTGTGAAATATTTAGACTTTCAGTAAAGATGTCCATTATTGTAGAAAAAGTTTAACTATTTTCTATGTGGATTTATTTCTTCAATTTTTTCAATTATGTTTTTAATCATTGCGCCAATTTCGATTAAAAGAAGGTCCGAGCTCGGATCCGAATCAGTTTTGCCTTCCAAGTTGTGCTGTAAAAAGTTATGTAGTTGATTTGACATTGTCTGAATTCGCTCTGTTTCGGATACTGCATGTGGGTTGTTTGTTATTACAGTTACTTGTTCAGAAATGTGTTCCTCTTGAGGGAACATGTTTTTAACAATGCTTGGTTTTGGCTTTGGTTTCATCAATTTTTTTTATCTACTTTGCTGTAGTCGATTTTTCCAGTGGTTTTCTACCTCTAGTCTGGGTTTGGTGTATTTGCACGTTCCAGTCTTGGGAATTCATCGATTACTCCAGAATAGCATACCTGTTTTGTGTTTTCGGATAGAGCTCTGCTGCCTCTGTGAAAGTTATTTTATTTAACATCATAGCAGCATTGATATGTTCTCTTCTCTTACGTTCTGGACAGTCTTTTTCGGTGGGTAGATGTTTGTTTCCACAGTTCTTGCATTTTACTTGGTTTCTTTCGTCGCATCCTCGGTGTTCTTCGGAGATATATTTTCCGCATCTTAGGCATGTTTCCTTGCTTTTGCACACTGTGTCCAAGTCTTCAGCACTTGTTACAGATTCTCACAGGGTAGATGTATATTTCCGGTTTACAGTATACTCCGTAGATCTGTACCACTCTCGGTAGTTCCGGGCCTTCTACGGTAATTTTTATCGTCCTTGTGTTGATCAGTTCGTTGACCATTTTCCTCTTAATTCGTTCAACATCCGTGATTTGTTTTGCTGCAGATTGCATTCAATCGAATTTCTTTTTCGGTGAACGACGGAGGAATGTCTTTGATGACACCTGTCGTTTCGGTTATTATTTTCGGAATGTACGCCTTGTAGTTGTTGTTTTTCCGAAGTGATGCCACGTTGAGAATTTTCTCTGTATCCTGTGGTTTTTTGTAAGTCTTTTTATATCTATACTGTCCTGCTCTTTTGAGCTCCGTGAATTGGTCCAATTGTGCATTATGTAGGAATTTTCCTACTTCCAATGTTTCCAGTAGTTTTTGTCCTTCTTTAATCAAAATTGGCTCGATGAAAATAACATTGTATGCGTTGTTTTTGATGTGAATGCTTTTATCATTATTTTTGTTTGAAGTTCCAGGCTTTGTTTGTGTTAGTATGGTTGGGATTTTGAGTGGTTGTGGTTGTGTTAGTGAGTTTGGTGGTGGTGTTCAATGTATTCGTCATTTGAGATGTTGATGGTTGTGTTAGTGTGCTGGATGATGATTTTGTTTGTAATGTAAGAGTGTTAGCTGTAGTTTGTGTTAGTGTGCTTTTAGACTTGTTTGATCTTGTTCGTTTCTTATCGCTTTCTTTTGTGTCTTTTTCATCACGTCTTTTCTTGTTCTGGTGAGACTGGTCTATCATGTCATCCTCCGGAAAGCCCCGGAAGTCGTCATCGTTGTCCATGTCTTCATCCGATGTAGGGGGTAATGGATATTCAACTATGTCCTTACCTTTATCTGGCGGCTCAGGCTGCCTGTTACTGTCCGATAGATCCATGCTTGTTAATCAAGCATAGATTACCACTTACCACTATCTGTACACTTCACCTCACTAAACTTAATATAACCTAAACAAATACACTTAGTTAATTAATAAAAGTAAAACAAATAAAGGTTCTTTCTCAATCTATTTAAATGAAATCACTGTAATCCACTTCAAACACCGTAAAAACTCAAAAATGGCTTCCAATTTCACGCGGTTTTCCGAAGAGAACTTCACTACACTTGACTGGTAGGCAGTTTTGTGGTTCGCTCTAGTCAGCGGTCAGCGGGTGAATGTACAAATAGAACTTGGATGCAAGAGAACTGGCGATGAAAGAAACGTCGATTGCAGAGTGATAGCAGGAGTATTTTCCATATTGCTTTTCATTATTCTTCTCGCCTTAATTACTCCTTGTTTTTACAGTCCCATTTCGATGTCCTTTTCACTTTTTTCGATCAGATCACATATCGACTTGTATTTAGCGTTGGGTGTAGTTGAATTAACGCTTCTGTTCCGTCCAGAATTTGAGTCATCTCGAGCAGCTTTTCAACCTGCGCTGCAACACATAACGGGTACTTTTGGCTTCGCTTTTTGCACTCTCAATTTTGCCAGCATAGTCTTTCAAACTCATGCAGTGGTTCATCAGAGAGGGGAAGCTTAGTAGCCCCCATCGCCTGCCCATGGCGCCATTCTATCGCGGCATGAGTCAGCAACGCCGGCCATAACCTATCGTCTCCAACACTCCACTATAAAGCATGAAATTAAGCCAGCCCAACCAGCAGCAAGGTGCAAAACTAGCCAAGGGGAGGGATCAAATGATATCTTAATACGTGTACACATAAAGGCCAAGAGTAACCACACATACTATTCATTTGACACATGAATTTCATGTGTACTTTTGAGTTGAATCTGTTTATGTGTGCTCACATGAAAATCATGTAGAATGTCACATGGAATTTCGTCAATACAAATGTGTGGAATTATAGTTTAGAATTATATAGTAGTCTATATGATATGTGACTTTTAGTATTATTCACAGAGGACACAGATTATTATTTTTTTATATCTTATATTCCACATTATAGGAGCGATGATGTCGGTGGACGATACGCTGATGTGTTCTTTCCAGATCCTGAAACCAGCTGATAAACGTAAGTTTCAATACGGTGGCATGAACTCTGGACGACCGGTTACACCGCCACGAGGTTACAGTAAAAATAAAAAGAAATAAGCTGAAAATAGCTAACAAGAGGTATATAAAAATCCTGAAACACACACACACACACACGTTTAAAATCAACATGATGACTTATATAAAGTTGAAGCAAATAATAAAACCTTGAGGTAAATGCAAAATAATTTAATATTAATTTAAATGGCTAGATTGTAAAAAAAAACCTTCACAATAGACAAGCAAATCAGTCCAATCTATGAAAACAAAAATGTGTTGCAACATGAACTCAAAACAGAAAAAAAAACTAACAAGTAAGCATAATAAGTAACGTTTTTGATAAAACAGAACTTAGACCATCTATGTAAACCGATAATTTTGAAAGATCGGTCATCAAGCATGTATCATTTTGTCTGTATAGCTATCTGTTCATTTCGTCGTACCTCGTCACTTATTTTTATTATTGTTGCATTAATTTGGTTGATTTGTAAATTTCAACATTTGGATAAGAGGACAAAATGTAGTATGGATGATGAACAAAAAATTAACCCCAATAAATTCGTCATTTGAGTTTATCATGGAGAAATGCCATTTTACTATTTTTCGTTAACAATAATATCAAATGAAATTCACAGAAAACACTATTTTGTTTTAGAAAAAAATCCATCGGAAGTGCCTTACGCTGGTACTTCCATTCCGAATATGCCGAAATCAACAATATAGACCGAACTTTGGCACATTTCCTCTACTATTTACTAGCGTTTGTGGATATTTGATGGTTAGAATTTTTGTGCAAGGATTTCTCATATTTTGTCTACATTTGATCGACGAGACTTGAGGATTGATCCATTTGTCATGAAACAAGGTTGTAGAGGTCGGACACTAGGCTTGCTAGTTAACCCTTATGTGTGTGAGAATTTCCCATCAATCACATAACGGTTAAGGACGATTGTGATACATTGTCAAATGTGAATAGAACGAGCCGCAATCAAAAGAATGCCAAATCTAATTCGGAGAAATAGCCATTTTTTCAGGTAATGGTTTAAGGCGTTTAGGAAAGTTTTATTCGGAATGATGTAGTACAACCGTTAAATACAGATACCTATTACAGTTGATTAAACGAAGCAGATCAAGTGCAGTGAACTAGCAGGGATGAACTGATGATAAATTTGATAAATGGGTGGAAAAGTACACTCCGTCCACTTTCTATATGACGAGAAAAAAGTATGAAAATATGTATCACTCACTTGTTGTTATTAAGGAAGCGTCTTTTTTTTGTAGACACTTATTAGTAACAGGCCTGCTGATGCGCATCTGACATAGAACTGTCAGATTCTGAAAAGAACTATTGTGTTGTTGATCAGAGGAAAGTGTTTGAAAGTAATGTAATTTTGCTAGCCTTTACGTATTTATGAAGAAGAGATCAGTTTTTCTATTTTTAACTTCCATCATCGATTACGAACAATAGGATCAGTTTCCCGTGTACATTTTAGTTTTTTGCTAAATTCTAATTAAAACCAGTGGTTGCCAATTCAACTGGGTTTACATTCGCAGGTCTGTTACTATAAGTGCATATAGCCTATGTTATTTTATTAAACCCGCCCAATTTCGCGTTTTCCTACACGTAACTTTTGTAACATAGGAGAGCATAAACTTTTATCTGGTTTGGCATTAGATTAAACCTTATTTCTATACAGTTTAAGATCTTATTAGGGTAAGTGCACTAGGTTTGGCCGTAGTTTCATATTTTGGTCATACCACAGAAAAAAACTATTAAATCACAATTTTCGTGCGTTTCAGGGGTGACATGTTTATGTACCCCGATGAATAAGATTTGAATCAACAATCTTAACACAATTTAGGACCTCAAACTTGTAAAAACGTGCATTATTGTCAAATCATGGCCAACATGGTGCGTTTCCCTTAAGCGTTTTTCGAATAAGAAATGTTGAAACAAGTAGTATTTTTCATCTTTTGAAATATACGGGGTCACTAAATCTATTTATTTTTCACATTTTTGATCCTCAGTAGAGAACAACCTCTTTTGATTTAACGGATCAAAAGCTCCCAATATGCCCCATTCTGCTATGTGTACAAGATTGTTTTGACAAATTAATGAACATATTTCTTCAACTCGTTACTAGGTGGTTTTCAAAAACTGGCAAAAAACAGCAAATTTTAAAGGCAAATGGTCGAAGATTTTACGTTTGCTCCGAATGTGAGTATTCCATTTATTTTACCAAGTTTTTTTCGGTTTGTGTTTTTAGTTTCCCCTTTTAGTGTTTCTTGTAGCTCTTTGTTTATGTTGTTTCTTTCCGTGGCGCACCTGGATTAATACTTTTGTATCTTAATTCTGAGTAAGGTCCAACTGCTGATGTTCATCAAAGTATTATCATCATGTTCATTTCTCGTAAAAGTTCTACATTTCGATTGAATTACTTGTCTATGATAATTGATTGTATGAGAATAAGAAGGCTTGCGCTATCCTTTAAAAAATAAAATTTCGGTATTGGACTCAACATCGAACGGCGTGCGAAGTAGAAAAGAATATTCGTATTCTGCCTGCTTCGTAAAAAATGTTACAAATGTGCTAAACAATTGCACATAATTCATAACGTTGAAAAGAACGGCAATTTAAGATGGAAAGTGCGGCATTTGCAATGAAAACATCTTTATCATCATCTTCCAATTTATTAATAACATCTAAATCATTTTTAGTATCATTAGTTTGTGGTTCTATCCTTGTTCCTGCGTATGCAAAAACAAAATTAAATAAATAACAATATTTTTAAAACGCATAGCATCTGTGTGCAAACGAATAGCAATGAAAGTCGACGTATCTGGCCAATATAGTCACATTTTTAGAAAGGAATAGCTGTCGCGTGTAAATAGCCTCGTGAAAACCGCAATTAGCATCTGTAGTCTGTGTAGTGTAGTTTTGGGCGATTTGAAATCACCGCAATTTTCGCTTTGTTTGGATGGAGCCACTGGCGTCGGTAGTACTTCACGACTTTTTCTTTTCTTTTGGAAAGCTCGTAAACGCTTAAGCCTTAATAGCTTTGGAGTAGCTCTAGCTCCCCCTTATTTGAAGTGATTATCTGTATAGTCATTTCACAAGTGACGTGACAATTTGATTTGGTATTATAATAGGCGACATGTAAATCAAATAGATTCTCGCTTTACCCAATTTAATCCTCAGAATAGCGACGCGTCATATGCCGCGCTAAAAAAAACTTGAATACATTTTTGGGCCAGCGTAAAGCTCAAGTGAGAACATGTGAAGCGATTAATAAGATACCATTGCTATTATTTTGCACACGTGTATGTATTTCTTTTAAATGCTTATTATATCAGGGGCTCAGTGGTTGAAAGACCTATATCCTTTATGATTAATTAGAAAAAGATAGCATGTCTGAAGTTTCATTTCATCATTTGATTTCTAGCAGGAGGTTATTTTTGGCAGAACTAACTATAAATTGATTGAAGAAAACGATGACACGAGTGTCACACACGAATCATTCACGGTGACATGAGTCCTGAACAGCAATGGAGTCTCACTTTACCATAGCCGTGATCATGACATTAGTTTTTGTGAAATTGGTAGATTCTTTCACTGAGCCCTTTATATATCTTGCCATTATTAGATAATCAGCAATTGTAAAATGCCACTAATCGACACATAAATAATCATCAGTTATTGTACTGCAATGACATAAAAAGGAAGGTTACGCAGAATTATACAATATACACGCTGTAATCCGATTGATCGAATAATATCTGCGTCACCTCATCGCCAAGCACACGGTATACTGCGCTCTTGGATAACGAATTTAGACAAACCAGTTTTTTGTATAGGTACAAATTTAGTAAAATAGTTTTTTTTTCGTTGATAGATCTGAAGCAACGTAACACTGGAATAATCGGTTATGATAATTTGATTTCACGCATTTTACACTTTTTGTAGTAACAGCACGAGTGTTGCGAAAGACAAATGAGCAAAAACTAGCCTAATTTCAATAAATGAAAACACAAATGCATAAGGAGCTAGTTTTGATTCGTTTCCGTTAAGTGCAGTACATCGTGATACAAGAAACGACTTATCTTTTTATGTATATGTTTTCCATTAAAAACGATCATTTGTACCAATTACTGTTTCACTGAAAATAACGAAACCAATAGTTGAAAATTGGTGAAAATTCCACATAATCATGAAAATCACTCAATAACTGATTGTCATGGCACTTTGTGCAGCCGCAAGCCTAGACCAACTATGACGACCACCACTACGAGTTATACAACTACTAGCATTGACGAACAGACCTCTGTAGTAGGAAAAGAAGTACAGCCATAGCAGAAGGATATTTTGCCAGAATAAGGACTCGTGATCATCGCCAGACTCAACACCCACAGCTTATAAAGACGGATACATCAGGCGTTGGATCATGTTGAATACTATTATAAGTTTATGTGGAAGTTACCTTTTTATAACATCCATAAGATTTATATCAGTATTATTTTTGTCCTAAGGATGATGACGCATATATTCTCAAACGATAAAATAGTCTTCATCACTTCGAATGACCCAGATTGCAGCAGCAAAAGTGGAAGCAACAGTGTTTCTAGTTATGTATTTTGATTACATTCGCTTCCGAAATCTGTTACTTTCTCTTCGGCTGCAAGCATTCGTATGAAGACAACAACTAGATCCAACTGCAAAAAACGTTATAAAAAAGAAGAAAGAAATGAAGAAATGATTGGCGGAATTGGAAAGTAAATTTGAAATTTGCATTGAACACGATTCACTTTTCTAAACAACCAACAATGAACACACACACACACACACACACCACACACACACACACACACACACACACACACACACACACACACACACACACACACATACACACACACACATACATGCACACATACACACATACACACACACACACACACACACACACACACCCACACACACACACACACCCACACACACACAAACACGCACACACACACACACACACACACACACACACACACACACACACACAACCACAACTTCTAACACCTTAAAAGTAAGACTTAAACGATGTAGCGCAACATTAAAGTAGACATCGATGATGCAAGAACAGTGACAAGGGGATAATAAATAAAAACCCTAAAATATTGCAGCCAACAACAAGAAAAATACTTGCATACGGTAAAATCCTGGTGTAATAAAATATCTTAAATCAAAATATGAATTTCATTGTTTACTGTCGTTCCAATATCACATCATCCTTATTTTATTTCACAGTTAGTATTCGATCGATCGATATCAAAGGCAACGGTGGTGTAGTGGTAAGCGTCATTGCCTCTCAACCCTGCAGGCCTGTGTTCAATCCCAGTCGGCGCCACCGGGATGTTCTGAGGCGTAACATCTCTGATCACGCCGGGGAAGTAAAGCCGTTGGTCCCTGGTTCATGATTTGATGGGTCGATAGGTGGTAGGGTCCAGGTGTGGGAGCTGTGCCTCCCTGGCGTTAGTAGCATCGGTGCTCAGCACGGAAAACAAGATCGACGCAAAGCACACTAAGGGAAAAAAAATCGATTGATAGGGGCTATGTGATTGATTTATATAAACCTAGACGCTGCAATTCACTTGGTTCTATCTCTTTCTTGGCCGAACTAGGAATTCTTTTCCGGTGCAATCGGTCCTGAGCTCATCGTTTTTAGTCGCCATGGAAGTTAGGTGACTATATCTGTACTCTTTTACTGTAAAATGTCAACGTGTGCGAGATTTACCCCTGCGTCGACTAGGTACCTCTTCCGCGGGTACGCTGCTGAATATCATCCTCGCTTGTAGCTCTTAGTACAGGGTGACCGGTAGCTTATGGTCAATACGAAACAGAGTGATAGAGGACCTCAAACCATGCAAAAAATTGTTCTACATTATACTTCAATCCTGCTTATAATGGAGGTATTTAGGTTTTCATGTTTGTGATCGCCCTACCTTATTTATTTATGTGTCAACATCAACAGACTCAATGTAGCCTAGAGATGAACTAGCCTTCGGATAAAAATCACTATAATAAAGTTTAAAAAAAATCTCAATGTACCCCCAATGATGGTTTATCCGATTAACGACCAGTGATCTATTTATAGATCAGAAGCCTCTAACGCATAGTAATTACATTTTTGATTACTGTCGAGAAATTTAATCACAAAAGTTATACATATCTAGATACTAAGAAACAAAACACATATGATCAGAAGGACACGTGTGTATGAACAAAATCTATGGCAACCGGTGGGTTGAACCCTTAAATCCCATTCAGTACACGGATGCATTGCCAATTATACTACGGGTACCGCTTGACGATAAACGAGCATTTGACAATGACATGTAGCATTAAAATCAGTTCGTTCAGTAGCATTAAAATCAGATGCTGGGTACAGGAGGGTCCACCAGGGCACCCGATTGAAGCGAAATTGATGGGGAAAGTGGAAATGCCAACTCTTGGTATATCACAAAACAACATTGAGATACGTGCATTCTGGTTATTTGGTGGATGGATTGTACGCCATTCTTAACTAGTAGTCGGTCAGGCCTAAAATTCTCATAAAATAAGCTCGAAAAATAATAGTTCAACAAACAATGCCTTCCATTCATTTTGACTAAAAAAATGTTTTAGGAAATTATGGAATAATAAGATATTATGATGGTATTTTGCATGTGTAAGGAACAAGAAAAGATTTTAAAGTTTGTGTTTGTGGGTGCCCTTCAATAAATATGAAATTAACTATTAATCTTGTTGACCATAAACAATAAAGTAAACAAATTACTTTAATATTTAAGATACATGCTTTAAAAACCGGTGCCGGTGGTGTATTGGTAAGCTATTAATCTCTGATCACGTCTTCCTGCGCACGCAACTGAAAAGAAAACCGAAAAGTATTTTTTGATGATTAATAAATGTAAATTTGCTAGCCTAGCTAGAGAGGTGTCTTTTTCTCAATTTCGAAATCAAAGCGAGGTGTCAATAATAATTAGTTTTTATGATGTTAAAATGCATCCAAAACGTCAAAATTACATAACGGAATAATTGATCAGATTGTGGTGGCGCTAATTAATCAGTCACCCTATCATCTGGCTACCCTGTGAGGGAGCTGTCAGTTGCGAACTGAATCAAAAAGTGTAAACCACGTGAAGAGGAATAAAAGTTGGATTTTATTGATTAATTCCGTCGCGTTATTACTTTCTCGTCACTTCCGTCCCACATTTGGTGACCCCGACGTGATTGAAACGGGTTCCGGTCGAAAAACGCCGCAGTTGATTCGAATATCGGGAAAATACGCATTTCTCCGCGGTACGCAAACAAGATGGCGAACCCAGCTCCAGCACAGCAGAATATCGCAGCAGTGGCGGTTAAGTTGCCAGAGTTCTGGAAGAACGATCCGCACATGTGGTTCGCGCAGGCGGAGGCCCAGTTCTGTCTGGCACAGGTGACGAGAGATGAGACAAAATTTTGGCACATCGTCGCCAAAATCGACCAGTCCGTGATATGTCACGTATCGGACTTGGTTTCCAACCCTCCGGCCGAGAATAAATATGGAGCAGTAAAAGAACGATTGATCGCCCGTTTCGCTCTTTCGCCACAGGCGCGACTCGAACAATTGCTTGGCTCCTGCGACTTGGGTGACCTTCGACCCACGCATCTACTAGCCAAGATGCAGGAGAGCTCCACGGGATTGAATGTCGACGATGCATTGATGAAGATGCTGTTCCTTCAAAGGTTGCCGCCAAGTGTCCGAGCAGTTCTGAGCATAAGTGATGGAAGTTTGCAGAAATTGGCTGAGATGGCTGACAAAATGATCGATTCATCTCCGGCCACCGCCGCAGCTGTTCATGTTCCGGCTTCATCCACTGGACAAAATGCTGATTACGCCAGTTTGAAGGAGAAAATAGAAGTTCTGACAGCTGAGATTCGACGCTTGAAAACTGAGCCAACACGAAATCGTAGCAGATCTTCATCGAAACCGAGATCCCGTGGTGACGACATTTGCTGGTACCATCGGAAGTACGGAAATCGAGCGGATCGTTGCAGAGAGCCATGCGCATTCGGCCAGCAAAAAAACTAGTCGGTTGCCCATCTGAAACGGCGCAGGTGGGTACTGGTTTCGAAAGCCGCCGACTCGTAATTTTCGACAAAACAAGTCAGCTTCGCTTCCTTATTGATACCGGCTCGGACGTGTCTATCATTCCAGCGACACGGCGCGAAAAAGCAGGAGGAACTGTTCCATTTTCCTTACATGCAGCAAATGGAACAAGGATACGTACGTATGGGAGTAAATTTATTTCTGTGGATCTTGGGCTGCGACGATGCTTCAAGTGGCGCTTTCTTGTGGCGGATGTGAGCGTCGCCATAATCGGCGCGGATTTGCTAGCACATTTTGGATTGCTGGTGAATCTGAAAAGCCGGCACTTGATTGACGAAACAACAAAACTACGAACAACTGGCTGTTTATCGGAAGTGCCTCTACATGGAATAACTGCAATAGATCTCCATCACCCGTTTCGAGACATGCTTGCGTCGTATCGAGAGATATTAGTTCCACCATCTGTTCAACAGGAAGTAAAGCACGATGTCACACATCATATTGTTACGCGCGGACCACCGGTGGCTTCGAAGCCACGTCGTATGCACCCGGAGAAACTTCAAGCAGCAAGAGACGAGTTCCAAACGATGTGCGAAATGGGCATTTGTCGGCCTTCGAGCAGTAGCTGGGCAAGCCCCCTTCACTGTGTTCCCAAGAAAAATGGTGAGTGGAGGTTCGTGGGCGACTATCGCCGCCTGAACAAAGCTACTGTCCCTGATCGGTACCCAGTACCTCACGTCCACGACCTTGTCAACAGATTCCAAGGTAAGACCATTTTCACTACATTGGATCTAGTTAGAGCGTACTACAACATTCCTGTCGAAATCGCAGACATTCCGAAAACAGCCGTCATCACGCCTTTCGGTCTGTATGAGTTTATGCGCATGCCCTTTGGCCTCTGCAATGCAAGTCAGACTTTTCAGCGCTTTATGAACAAGCTTTTCGGAGATTTGGACTTCGTGATAGTTTTTATCGACGACATCTGCATAGCGTCAGTGAACGCGGCGGAGCATATGGAACACGTCAAATTAGTCCTTGAACGTCTCAAAGCAAATGGTCTAGTGATCAATGCTGAAAAGTGCGTTTTTTCACAACCGCAAGTAGAGTTTCTTGGGTATACAATTGACAAGGATGGAATACGTCCAATTACATCTCGAGTTCGTGCTGTCCTGGAATACAAAATACCAACAATGGTGAAAGATTTGCGTCGTTTTCTGGCATTGATTAACGTCTACAAACGATTCGTACCTCACGCTGTGGAAATTCAGGAACGATTACGAAAGCTTATTCCTGACAATCGAAAAAACGATAGCAGAAAAATTTCATGGGACGAAGAAGCATCTCGTTGTTTCGAACGTTGTAAGCAGTCACTAGCTGAGGCAACATTGCTTCACTATCCTGACGCCTCAAAGCCTCTTGGACTTATGGTAGACGCGTCTAACTGCGCAGCGGGTGCCGTTTTGCAGCAATTCGATAGTGGAAGCTGGAAACCCATCGGATTCTTTTCTCAAAAATTTTCTTCGAGCCAACAGAAGTACTCAACCTTCGGAAGAGAACTTACAGCTGCAAAAGAAGCGGTGAAATACTTTCGACATCTTGTCGAAGGGCGACAATTCACAATTTTCACTGACCACTTTCCACTCACTTATGCCTTAACCACGAATCCGAGCAGTCGGCTTCCCCACGAAGAACGGTATCTGGCA